TAATGACAGAATTTTCATTTTTGGGTGAACTATCCCTTTAATTGTATACGAGTCATGCATTATTATGCCATACGACTCCTCCAGTAATAATCATTATTGAATGCATTCATTAGCATACCGTTACAATCATGTAATTTTCATTACTGCTATTTAATGACAATATAAGGTCACTGGCTCTCCACGAAGTAGAGAAAATGCTCTTCATCAAAAGCAAGGGTGTCCAAATTTTTCCACTGGGGGCTAGATGCAAAAAAAAAAAAGAAAAAGTGTGTTGTCTCGGGCCACATGGCTGTAATAATAATAATATATATTTTTTAAACTACTATTAGACAAGCTAATTGATTATTGCCATTCATTTGTGAGTATTAAGGCTACTTTTAGGACTGAAGCTCTTTGCACATTGATGACTTATAAAACCGTTCTCTCCAGAGTGAATCCTCAAGTGGGAATTGAGGGTTACCTTGCGTGTGAAACCCTTTCCACACTGATCACATGTGAATGGTTTCTCTCCGGTGTGAATGTTGACGTGATACCTCAGGTTTAGCTCTGTTGTGAAGCTCTTTCCACATTGATCACATATAAACGGCTTCACTCCAGAGTGAGTTCTCGTGTGGGAACTAAGGGTGTTATGATGTGTAAAACTCTGTCCACACTGAGAGCAAGTGTAAGGCTTTTCTCCGGTGTGAATCCTCGTGTGGACTTCAAGGTTTCCTTTTTGTGTGAAGCTCTTTCCACACTGTTGACAGGTGAACGAGATCTCTCCGGTGTGAACTCTCGTGTGGACTTTAAGGCTTTGTTTTTGAGTGAAACACTTTCCACACTGTTGACAGCTGAACGAGATCCCTCCATGGCTGGCTTTCGGGGTAGTGGGATCTACCCATTGAACTCAGCCCCCATTGACGCTGCCCTCTTCGTGCCAAGTGAAACAACGGATAGAGAGCATCAAGAGAGACCTCCTAGTGCCCCACAAGGAGGGTTCAGGGAAAGGGCAAAGAGCCAAAGCCAAATCCCAAGAAGAAGAAGAAGGAGGAGCCATATGGGGACAGAGATGATCCCAAAAGTGCCGAAGAGTGGCTGTCCTGTGCGGTTTGCAGCCATAGGTATCACGAAACATGTGCAAAAGATAATGGCGTGATAGATGATGATGGGTCTCTCACCTGCAAGG